TGCTGAACGCTTTGTCGTCGTAATGCATCACGCTCCGGTAATCATAAGGGGTGCCGAGAGAATCAATGACTGACCTTGGGTACTTGTTAAAATTGTTCCTTCTCCCTGCAACAAATTGCGGTGAAATATTTTTGGTCGGGAAAGTCAGTTACTGTAATATTGAAGGTAGACGAAAGGAAAAAAATTTCTATCAATCCTAATGACGAGAACTCTATCAAAGAGAATTTTTGAAAGGTTTGGGTTTTCATGTGTTGGAGATCAAAATAACCGGAATTGTGGGATTAAACGGTGTTTGCTGCGTTTCTTTTCACACACTCTACAATCTGATCAAATCTGCTGAAATCAGGGAGAGTTCGAGGGTGAAGCCAAAACGACAAAAACTACACGGCTACGTTAAAAATAACCTCAGATACTATTCTGGATTACGGTACAGTTTGTTTCAACTTGTGATACTTTATTACTGATAATATGCATCGAGTCATTAGGGGTAACAAATAAGAAATGACCCTAGAGGAAACAAAAAAAATCGCTTTTGGTAAGCGAAAAAGCACGAGCTATCGACAGTTAACAAAAGCAATAATTTCATGACGAAACTCAAATTTAGATTCATGGCGCAAATAGCGCGTGCATGGGAATGATTTTTCAGTAGCTAATTTAGAAAAAGTGGAAAAAAATTAAAGAAAGAAGACTTTTGCTGGGGTTTTTAAAAATGAATTGAAAATCAATTTGCCTCACCTGCTTGTACATTTTGGAACAGCACTGTGACAAACTGATCTCTATCGGGACGAGACTGTTCATGATAGAATCCAATGGCATGGCCTGCGAAAAATCAGTAAGACACTTGTTTTTTTTTGCAGTTCACTCTTATGATATCATGCCGTTACCTGATAATACATGTTGATTCTTTTAATATTTAATCAAGAGCACTTTTTGAAATGGTCCTAAGTTCGGATAATAAAAAATTGGTTAAAAATTTTTTCAACGGCTTTAAAAATATCGTTCCTAAACGTTTATATGAAATAAAACCTCGAAAAAATATGCACAAATACATAATAAAAAATATACAAGGAGAAAAGCAGAAGAAAAAAAAGCAAACAAACCGACCATACTAAAAAAGTAAGGAAAATAAATAAAAACAAATAAGCAGACACACCAGAGCAAATTATTTACCGATTTCATGAGCAACAATTCCTAGAGTACGGCATCCACTTCCAAGGTTTATAATTTGACGGCCTCCTATTCTGCCTACATTTGAATAACACCCTCCACTGAAAAGTAGGTTGATATTAGAAGGATGCATTAATTATTTCCATAGATTTACCTGGTGTGATGCGCTTTCATAAAAAAAAAATAAAATAAGATAAAAAACATAGTAGGGTGTAGCTCTATATTAAGTTGATCATAAGGGATTTCGCGGGCGAGAACTCGTGACGGTACCAAGGAAAATCTGATCACAAAAAAGGAAATTATATTTGCAAATGACCTGACGTCTTTACTGCCTTTATCAGGGTCAAACATTCTCTTCAACGTAGCCCCTGTTGAAGGCACTAGAGAGGAGTGTCGAAACGTTGGGTCTATGAATAATAACTTCTTCGGTTACATTCATTAAATCTGCAAACCAGAGTAGCATCAAACTATGTCTGCTCATAACCATTTTTCTTTTCCCTTAATTTTCTGGTTTACGACGTACTGATTGCTGACGCCGATCTGCTTGCTTGTAAGGTCTCTAATAGCGGAGCGTGTGCAACGTAGCCCCATACGGAGGAAAATTTTTAGGTTAACCTTCAAAGCCAAGCCGTCTCGTCGATCCATCAGTACATTAGTTTTGAGATATTCTAGTTCTTTCCTTTCAATTTTTTGAGCACAAGAATAAAATGCTAACATTCTGAGATAGCTCGAATCTCTAATTTCGCTAACATCTATTTTGATTTTCGTTCAAACACACAAGCTTATTGATTACTAAGATTTATTTTAGAGCAAGTTACGCTAACAGCCTCTAACCTGCGTAAAGCAAATATTACGTAGTCTCTTTCATTTGTTCGCCTCTTAAAACGGATGCATGTCTTTCTTCTCCATTCATTCATTCCTGCAATTATGGCCCTAATTGCATTCCTGAGCTCCGGACTTCTACCTGTGTTTTTTTTTTAAAAGCGAAGACTAGTTAATATCGATCTCTTGTACTAGGCGGTTTCCTTTCGCTCTGTTTACACATAGAATTCAAATCCTGGACATGACGCAGCAAAGACTCATCCCGAGTGAAAAGGTATAGTTTTCCGAAGATCTTTATCCATCAGTTGTCTCGTTTGAATTGTGATACAAGTGAAGCGAATTGTTGCAGCGACTTTTCAACTAATGAAAAAGGGGCTTCGAACTTTTAGTTGAAAAGAAAAAAAGGGTCCCATCCACCTAGAGCTTTTCCCGGTTTTTGTGGTATGAAGCGATATGGGGTGCTGAAATTCCCTCTGAAAGGGATGCCAGTCCAGTTATGTGTCGTATATATTTAACTTCGAACTGCAAAGAAACTTGCACAAACTGATGTCCAAGTAAAACATACAGTTTAAATATATCCGTATTAATCTTTGAAAGTATAATGCAAAACCCCGCTGTAAAGCCGATTGTGTGACATTATAGCTAGCGCAGTACAGGAGATGCGATATTTATCTTTGGTTTATTGGAAAGCCACGAATTAAGATTACAGTCCTTAGAGAGTTTTAACAATGACATGTTTTATTCACCCTTACCAAGGCCATTAAAGACGGCAAAAGGGACTTCTCCTTTGGGCCATAGTCCGCGTCTGATGGATGCTCTTTTGCGGGAGCTATCAACATCCATTCCGTGCTCTGCTTTATAGAGGACATGGGGAGGAAGAATCATATCCCCCTCGAACAAATCCTTATTATCCACACCTAAATTCTCTATGGTATAAAATTGAATACAATCGATTAGTCGATCACTTGTTCATTCAATAAAAGAGTTATCATTCATGCAATCAACCAATCAGTTGTATAGTCAATCCTCCAATGAAACCAATCAAACAGTAAGTTTTACTCTGCTGATCGGTAAGGCAGTCAATTAATTTCCCAATTCAAAATGAAACATAAACGAGAGAAATTTATGAAACATTATATACTTCCGTTCTCTTTGACACAACTAATAATTAGTTACAAACGTTTTTGATGGGTACGTTTTAGTGGAAAACTATTGGCTTGTAACTGATAGCTACACTTATAACTAAAGCGGAAAAAAAAGGATTCGGTGTGAAGCGAATTTAAATTAAAATTCAAGCTATTCCCCTCAAAATTAGGTGTACTTTGTATTATTTAAACCTATAAGGTGTTGATTTATTCTGTAACGATCGAACTTTTAGAATTCTTTTTAGCGCGGTAAAGTAAATCCATGGGTTTCTTCCGGCGTAACAATTTTCATTGCTTAAAAACTGTTATAGCTAGAAAATCAATAATCAGAAAAACAGGCACTTACTGAAAAGTTCAAAAAAGGGAAAACAATTCAAAAGTCCGTATCTTAGCTTCGAAAGCTATGATCTACTATGGCATTATTACAAGAAATTATAAACAACCTTACCATCAGGATTTTCCGATGCAACAAAGACTGCGCTCACCAACAGGAAGAAGCACAGGCACTTCATGCTTCTTTGCCTTCTTCTCCGTCAGCTTAAGTTTGCCTGCCGGTGAAAACTTCTGCTATAAACTGATGCTTCTCGTGGTCAAGCTGCTTCTTATAGTTTATCACGTCGACAATACAATATGTAATTACAATAATAGTGTGGAAATGAGGTGATCATTCGGTTCCTATTCCGGTACATTTCGGGAAATGTCCTGTACTTATCGTACACCAAACAATTTAACATATTGTGATATCTTCCGTGTGCAAGTTAAGTCTCTTCCTTTTGCGGTCGCAGAAGAAGGAAATCAGATCACACTCTTTACGACGTTACTGTGGTAACTTCAAGAGTTGCGATATTGCAGGAGCCTGAAATATCTGACCACCTCCTGTGACTACTTATAGCACGGCTTTTTTTCAGTTGTTTTTCTTTTAATCAAATTAAACTGAGATGAGCACTTATTAAACTGTGATCCCATGTCATTATTTTTATTAACTAGCATGTCAATTCTGCTATCGATTTGGTTTTCTGATCCACTTTGGTAGATTCAGATGAATCCTCAAAAACTACCGCCTTGTTAATGATAACAAGGAAGTACTACAACTCGACTGACATACTTAAATGAATTGATAAATTTTTTGGTTTACCGCGGAACTTAAAACATTCCTGAAGAATCGACCCACACAACTCATCTACCTACCGAGTGACGTATCCCTTTACATAACCGGGGTGGCCATATCGAGAGAATTGCGTCACGATATTTAGACTAAACTGAATAATGTTGCTTTGTTTGTTTGGAATAATGGCTACCGAAGACTTGTTTAGATAAGATTAAAAGATGCAGCTGTATTTTACCATCAACGAGGCAACGGAGACACCAAAAAGAAATCATTGTGTTATCGAAAGATTTACAGGAGGTTCCTTGTGGGAATACCCTGTATTTTAACTGATCAGTCCTTACCACACACATATTTCTTTCTATATGAAGAAAGGAGAATTAAACCACACTTTTCCTCATCAGTATGAATTTTCTGTACTTGCGGTAGGCAAGAACGATATGGAACCCATTTCTTCTCGAAAGCATACGATATCTCCTTTATATTGCATTGATAGTGAACTGAAAGCAGAAATATATAATTCCACTTCTCCTGTAGTTTCTGTCATTCAAAACTAATATAATGCATTCTTTTTATTGAAAAAAGATTTCAAACGGACGGCTAAATGTGTTTTGTTTTACAGTTGTGTTTTGACTGAGTTAACACTTATGCAGAAATATACTTTTTTTCCATGATATTCCTTCAATGCATATTGGTCTAGTCTCCTAATTAGTCACCGAGTGTACCAGTTTTTCTTCACTTTTTACATTTGTTAAAATCTAATCTAGCAAAAATGACGTTTATAAAGGAGACGAATCATCATAACATGGTTAGATATAGCTGCTGACGATGGTAACGTACATGCAACATACCATGCAGTACTTTTGAGGTTACTTACATCAAAAGTATTCATAGAGAAGGTATAAGGCCAGGCGGTGAATATTTCGCTCATTTTTTCTAGGTGATCTGAGTTGTGACATTTATAGTCTTTTCACAGTCCCTCTATCTACGCAATAGAACACATTTTCACAGGTTTTTAACAGTTATTAACCGATGAGGGATGTCGGGAGAACACGAGGAAAGCTTGTAACGCAAGTTTGTTTCCTGTAATTCTGAAATTCCAAAAAATTTGAATTCGCTGCAAGGTGAATTATATGTTTTATCATTATTATTATCCAGCCATGCTTTTTGATCGTACCGCTTCTATTATCTTATTATATCCTATTGTGAAGATATTTTGTTTCCCACTCAAGTTGATGGTGACACTGGTTTAGATGTTTAAGAGGGTCGTCACCCGTAACAAGAGGTAGAATAAAGCTTGGTTTTCACTCGCAATGCAAGCTTAAGCGCAAGCACAAACGCGCCCATAAGTTAAATATGCTAAACGAAAACGAACATCAAACAGCCCAAGCACAACAAGAAGAAAAAATTCAGATACTAGTCCTTGTACTTATGATTGTGTCGCGGCCTTTTTCACGGGAAAAGTGAGTTGCTGTCCTTGTGTTTGTCGCTAGTGGAAACCAGGCTTGAGTGCTGCTGAAATCTGATATCACATTCAAGATTGTCCTCGCAGCAAAATGGTTAGTCATTACTCCATTGAAATAAAATATGATTAAATGCAAGCAAACTGCGTAATATTTATTGCTTAGACCTATTGTAACCAAACCAGCAAATCAGAGAGGAACTGAATAAAGGTGACTAAAATATCTCGATTCATATTATTCCGCCGATTACGTTCCGACGTGAAATCGCGGAAGTAATGCCATGTAAATCTAGCTAAAATGGTGGAAAGTAAATGAAATGAAAGAGTTACTAAAGAGTGACTCTTTTTAATTTTGAGGTTGTTATGAAATCTCTGGGGACCGTGCCGACCCATTTTTATTAACATAAAGATATACGGCCAAACAAATGGATGTGACTGTCAAGGAAGGGGATTTGGACATTTTTTCAACTTAAACTCAAAATTTTAGAGCATAACGCGGTGTCGTATAGTCAAATTTTTGCCATTTTGTTGCGTCATAGA